TCACTTCCAGTTTGTAGTGTTTAGAGCTGACCATATTTAACCTCTTTACAGACAGGCAAGAGATAAGGTCTGTTATGCTGTCACTTTTCTACTTGTTGAAGCTGAAACAATGGTAAGACCTCGGACGGGTACAGAAGGAAAGAGGGTAAGACCTCGGACAGGTACAGAAGGCATGATTCTGCCGGAAGCAAGCTGGAATTCTCAGAGTGAAGCAACAACCTGCTACATTCGTTGCACTTCGTCTTTTTCACAATCTTCCGGGACAGAGATGTAATAAGTGATCCGGGAGTCCCTTTTGCGTCCAATGAGATCAGTGTGGTCAGGGAGGGCTTCACAAGCAACAATCATTTCATGAACATCATTGAGGCGCCCCACATCTAGCAGCTCATTCAGCTTATTCTGCAATTTTATTGAATTATTGTGAATGCTCAGACATACAAGGCTGCTCAGAACTCCAGAAGGTATGTTTACACTGGAAGATTACTGTGCCAAACTGTAAAAACTGAGGCAATTCACAGAGGTCAAAAATTGTGTCGGCGTAGGGAGATTATTCGAGCCAGACGTTTGCTTCAGAATTCCAAAAAGATTTTAAGCGCGTCTTGACAGAGGCGAGACGTCATCAAGTATTCATAGCCCAAGGTTTTTGTAACATAGTGCCGGATGGAAAGGGTGCTGGTTAGAAAGACGCGCAGTCCTTCGGCAATTGATTCACTCAGGAACCGACCCTCCTTAGGTACAGATTTTTCCCAAGTTGCTAAGAACCCATTGATAACATGCTTGTAGCTACCGACAATAAATGTTTTGTTGAAATGAGCTTCGCACACAACGTAGTTCTTTTCCAGTGGTTTGTCAGCGCGAGGAATCGCACGCTGCCAGGCCTTGCGGCGTTCATCATCGGCGGGAGCAGAGAAGAGAGACGCTTTCTTTCCTTGTTTGTGGGCCGGAACATATCTTGCATTGCATACAGGTGCAAAGCAGTGTGTTTGCTGTTTACCCATCACTGTGGCATGGTCACATTGGCACGTATTCTTCCCGAACAAGACCAAATAGGGAAAGCGCAGACGTTGCAACTTGCGAGCACACAAGCAAACGAATAAAAGTGCCGCGCTAGCGTCTGACAAGCGCACTCGACCGATCACGATGACGACTTGCGCGCCGCTCCGCGGGGAAATGAAATACCAGCACGCCTCCTTTCAAGAAGCAGCGGGAACGATGCTGACACCTCTCCTTTTAGCCACCATAGCGGTAGTTTCTGGTGGTGTAAACGCGTGTTTTAGACTTCGTTCGAAATATTTTCGCTTTCTGAGAATGCATCAAACTGTTAAAAATTGAGTTTACTGTACAGCCGCAGACAATCCGAAGCTGAAGCTCAGTTGCTTATTTCATGGTTTCCTTCGCTGAAACAATGGGTGAAGTCGCGTCGTGACACTGCTGGGATAGAATAAAAAGCAGCGGACACTTTTTGAATTTTGAGAACAAACGTTCCTTTATTTTGCTAGTTCAGATTGGCTATATTTTTTCAATTTCAGTACAACGAAATTTTTCCTTTAACGAAATTTTTTCCGCTCCCCTTTGGTTTCGTTGTAGCGGAGTTCAACTGTAAAAACAACTCGCATATGTCTTTACACGTGAACAGACGGGACGGCGCAGCTGGCTGCAGCGAAAGCGTGGGTCAAAGCTTTGGCTTTGCTCGCTACTAGATTCTTTGAACAGGAATGCCAAAATGCTTATGTCTTTTTTACATCTTTACTGCCTTTAATCTACCGCTGCGTCAGCCACGTGCCCTCGGAGCTCTCAGATCGCTATCGCATCCCCATGATTGCGATTTAGTGCACGGCGGTTGCGGCAAACGATAGTTTTGTTTTTAATCCACGCGCCTTTAATACTACTTCGTTTTATACTATCTATGATCACAGATGCCGTGGTTTTGTCGACAGAATCTGCTGAAAGCAGTGTTGCTTTGACTGGTCAAGCGTAGGCCGCGCGCACACTTTTTGGAGTTCTGTCAGTAACATCGTCACCAAACATGATCGCGTTAGAATTACCGCGGTTTCGTCTACAGCGGTTGTGGTAACGACAACCACACGCACTGTAGAAGACAGTGAGTGCGCTGGGCACACGCGTACTTTCGAAACTTCAAGCACACTGCTCTCGATCAGTCTTCGTCCGAAGGTGTCGGTACTGAAGTTCATATCACACCCCACGATCAGGAAGTGTTCAGAACATTCGAATTTTGGCCCAAAACGCACATGAATTTGGCTGGGAATTTCACAAATTCGTATCTGCCATGGTTTCGCATCACTGAGACTCTACTGTATGTTTAGATGAATGCCTTTCAAATTCGTTTATAATCCCATGCGGTGAGCTCGCAAGAAGCCTGGAACGGACTGACTTGCATTTTTGTCAATGCAGCCAGATCTCGCACACAAATTTCGATTTCCGAGAGATTTTCATGGCAACCGTAAAAACGGGAGAAACAATCATTACCCGGGAGTCTCCCGGACAACGCGGGAGACTTGGCAGGTATGTGATGATGATAACACCAATACATTTTGTTCTATCCTGGTGGCGGAATATAGCACAATGCCGTTTTGTTGCACCCGTGACTAGCTACAGCAATGTGTCGTAGCAAGTCGCGGAGGCCACCCTTTATTTTTTTTACCGGAAACGAAATATTTTTTGTAATATTTCAGGCAAGATTCATAAAATCGCAAGCACCATCGAATTCGTACATTTTACGGGTAAACCAGAAAAGTTGACAGGTATGTATTTCCTATTGTAGAAGCATGCATGCAAACACCTCCGATTGTAACAAGTCAATCAAGTCTTAAAAATTCCAAAAAAAGCTGAAGCTTCGCACACTAAACATAGGCCAAATGTTACTTAGCTGGCAATAGACTCATTCAAACTAGGAAGACTGCAATGCACATTTTGAAAAGTATGAAAAGCAGCACATCAATAGAAAGCATTGCTGCAATACATGTATAATACAAAAATATTACTTTGATACACCTGGCCCAACTTTTTGGATGTATACTGTCTTCTTGGAAAATACTGAACAGCAGTAGTGCGCCCCTAACCTACCTAGGACTGATTTTAATATAGCATTTCCTGTGAGGTTCCCTAACAGCCTAACTGATTTCTGTTGTTCTGAACTTGTTTTTTTGCACAAGAACACTTCTTCATCAAGTCCAAGGAAAGCACCAGCTATATACTGGTTGACAATTTCTAGAGTGGCTCACAACTAGACAGGTATAGCAGCACTAGTTTTTACAACTGAAAACAGTAATGTGACCAGAGTTAATGAGTCCAAAGCACACTGCAAATTGATAAAATTTCGCAACCCAGTTGCTAACCCAGAACAATGCAGGCAGCGGCAGTTATGATTGCAAGCCTCAATGAAATAAATTGACAAGTGCTGGTAGGTCATATTCAATATCAATGCTCATTGTGTCAAACTATTGTAAGTGCTACAGCAGCAAAGCTGTAAACTGCTTTTTCTGTGTGGCAATAAACGTAAAACAAAAAAGAGGGTGCACACGCCTGTAATTAATAGGGTGCCAGGTACAACAACTGAAAGGCACACAATGGACAACTTTTCACGAATACTCTAGTAGAACCACTAGAATGAATGGAGCTTCCCTACCTCGTCCCCCACGTAACATCCCACTTATAACAATCCTGTCTAACCCACTTATAACAATCCCAGCTATAATGATCTATCGCTTATAAGAACCACATTTCGGTGCACTTACAATTTTCCTATGCTACCCTTTGAAACTGAGTCCACAGACAACAAACATTTTTCAAAGCCTCCTACTTTTACAACAACCACTTTTGACACGGTTGCGGTAAAAATATGGCACATACACACGAAAAATATGTTAAAAAAGGCATTCTAAAGCATATGATCGGTGTGCGTTTGCATGTGCCCCGCTGCAATTTACTTGTGTGTGTAGACCGCAGCGAGCACTGCATGCAGATCTCGGACAATGTGAGCGAGGTCACTCACTTTCCAGACATTTCTTCACCGGCAGAACGGAAGTGAGGAAAAAAACATAAATAGGCAGCATGAGGACTTGCAGTCAGCTTCCGCATGCCAAACTTTTCTGACGCCGTTCTTGGCATCTACGACCGCTGATAATTAACCAATTAACCAACGATGCCTTTGAACACAAGCCACAAACGCGAGAAGCGCTAACTTTTGTGGCATAAAATTTCCCTACGATGCTCAACTCTTCCCCACAAAAGGTTTTCCACCTTTCAGTAGCGGCAGAGATCGGTCGATTAGTGATAAATACTTCCTTGTAGTTATGGCCGCGCCTTAACAGATAAGCCTCAAAGAAGAGTATGGCGAAATGGCCGTTGGTGATGAACTGCCATTCACTCATCACCGGCAAGCTTATCACAGTCATCTGCAGATGGCTGCTTAGCGGAATGACGGCGGTACAAGCACATCATGCTGCCGTTCGCAAGTTTGTCGCTGCCACGTCATGCAAAGCCGCTAGCATAAAGCTCGCAAAATTTTTCGTTGGGTTAAACCAATGGGCTACTTGCCGCACCCGAGCACGACCCTGAGTGAAGCATGCACGAAGAAAGCACAAACTCGCCCATTCATTGAAGTGCAAGAGAACTGGCATACAACAGCGAGAGCCGAGTAAGCGATGTGCTGCACACAAGTAACCAGGAATGATCGGTTCGACGTGGCGGTACCACGCTTTAGTGAAATGGCGCAAGTTCATTGCGAGCGTGGTTGAATTCACTCGTGAACAAATGGACATAGGTTAACACGCAAAAAGGCCTAACTTGTCAGCGGTCACACTTTTGAAAAAAATACACCGCAAAAAAAAGTTTGGCCATTAAGTGGACCTTTTTATGGGTGAGTCTATATACAACGAACTACTATATAACGACCATTTATCATGGCACTTTCGAGTTCATTATAAACAGATTCGACTACATATATAAAAACACTTTCATTCTGTTCTTTTATAACTTACTCATGGAATAACTCCCTTGTATTCAAAGCGATTGCTTCAAGCATATCTTTGAATCTGAAAAAAATATATAAATAATTAAATCAAGAAACACACAAAGATAATGCATAATAATTATGTAAAGTATTTTTACTTGGAGCAACATCAATAGTTGTATAAAGTACAAGATTTAGTTAATATAATGCCCCGGGTTGCAAGAAAACTAGAAGCAATCGCCCAGCCTTACCTTCACGATACATAACAAGAACTGCTATTTTCCCGTTCCGAGCACTTAATCATGCATTTTGCTTGTACGTGCCTAAATCATATCTACCATTACTAATCTGCAGTAGTTACAGCCAGAACATATTACACCAAGGGGACACATGCGATGGCTTATTACATTCTGCCATACATACACTCTGACATAAATGATCTTAGAAGATGTAATAAAAATTATGCATAAAATTTATTGGCACAAGGGCTGTTCTTAATGAGTAAAGCTGGCAATAAATAACGAAAAATTATCCAAAAGAAACAAACCATTTACAGATTATTCTGATAGGGGTCTTTCTTCACAAGGTTAGCTACATACATTAAATTTTTTTTTAAGTTCTAGTTCATCAACCGACAACACATTGTTTGGGAGCATAGCTATAACAGATTTTATGTAAGTGTACCATCTTTAGAGTCCCCAAATAAAAGCTGCTAGCATTCATTGAAGGTGAATAAAGTGCACATGAAACTTGTATCAGAGAAGCAAGCCTGAAGCAACTGAAAATTACAAGGCTTACATAGCATAAAGCACATGCCTGCTTCAATCTTGACAGTAATTGTAAAAATTTGATCAACCACTCACAGAAGGCAAAATGAGAAAAAAAAAGGGCTTACTCCTGCATACGCATGGTAATTTTTCCAATCTGGTTCTCCTCCAAAACTGCCATCACTATCCTTTTCCCAGTCTTGAGTACTTGGTGGAAATTGCCGTAAGTTATTTTCTGGAATGTTGGAAATCTCTCTCTATTCATCCAGTCAAGAAATGTCATGTTTTGTTCTAAAGCACTGTTTTCTGAAAAGAAAAATATCTTGTTAATACTGAAACTCATTTATATGGCATAAAGACAAGGTAATGATCAATCTGTGGAAAGCATGTAACTCTGTTTTAACAAAAGAAAATGTGACCCTAAATAGCTGCCCTCACAACTCTGCAAAATTTCAATAAATGAACATCTTGCTAGCAAAGATACAAGGTAGGAAAGCATTTTTATTGTTTTCTTTTCTGTATTTCCACCATTCCACCCTTTTATATTGTGTATTAAAAAGCTTTGCATTTTGAATGTGGCAACAAAAGAAATGCGAACCGGCAACACAGCCTAGTATGATCATCAAGTGACACTGAGATTAAGAAATGCACAGTTCCCTGTCATCAAAATAGCACAAAACAGGTGCCAGCAATCATAACCAGTTACACCCAATAGCAGCAACGCTCTGTGTTTGCCTGCCATATCAGAGTCAGTTGTTCCATTTAGGCAGAAGTTCCTTTTAACAGATTTCTGTTTAGTGAAAGTCTTCAGTACCTAATTGAATAACTAGAATTTAGGCATCGACACTCAGCCTTGCCTCTAAAAAAACTCGCGTTGGGCACGCTCTAAAGGTCCTCGCCCGCACGAAGCATGGTCTCTCTTGTGCACGCGCTTATTAGACTCCTAATTCAGGACATGACGAAGCTGACCACGCTGCCGTGTTAACGAAAGGAGCGCGCTGCTGACACACGACGCAGGAAGAATTGTGAGAGTTGTTCGTACTTTTCCTGTGTATACTTTTCCTGTGGGCTCGTTTCGTGCATCTTTCTTTCTGTTTGAACAGCACGCTCTAAGTGTCGAGCTGTGACAGTTGTTAGTATGGGCTCATTCTGCATATGCTAATTTCGTGCGTTATTTCTGCTTGAGGTGTGCGCTGCAGTTTTCATGCTGGTTGCCCTTCCTAACGTTACTTCGAAATTTGTTGCTGTTGCTGAAACAATGCACAATGAATGCTCAACTACCTCTATGAAGACACGTTTCACTTTTGTGTTATACAATTTTTAGATAGGGGGATCAGCCACATTTTTGTAAATTCCCTCATTTATTTTATGTCCGACTGTGACCTGTGACCATCACATCAGTTCATAATGAAGCGCTAGAGGTGATGGCGTGGTTTCATTACAAGAGTTCACAAGAAAGAGAAGCTATTTAGCGTGCTCAAAATAGCTGCGTCATGTTGTTTTTGCATGCTCGAGGTTTGTGATCACAAGTAGCGCTAACAAAGCGAGGAGACCTTCAGCTGCACATCAACCAAAAAAGCTTTTATGGTCCGAAAACAGAAAAATATCCACACCGAAAAGACTGTCTGGCTGAAAATCTCAAGCAACTCCATGTAGGTCAAGCATGTTTAGGAAACAGTCCACGATTACACATGTAAATGGGGCATATCCATAAGCAATCCTAAAGCAACTAACACTGGATCACTAAAGAAAATAAATTGGCAGAAAAATAAATCTTACAATCAATAAAATACACAGTAATTGTCTCTCTCATTGTAATCATCAACATAAAAGCATTACGAGTTTTACATTAAAAAGATGCGATCATTAAATTCAGGTCATTTTTTATTTTAAACAATTTAACAGTGGTTACATTTATTATTTTTTTTGTTTTTTCTCTCAAACTGTACTATAGAGGACATATGAGGTGAAACCAGAGTAAAATTGTAGTGTATAATCAAAGTTTTTAGAACATTGTTTTCATGGAGGTTTACCAGAACCAAACCAATTTGTCGTAATATGCAGTCATCACATGATTGAGGTATGTATAATTGAGGTTCTATTGTACCTGAAACACTGACAATTCATTGGGTTTGCTTGATGAAACCAAGAACTTACTTTCTTCACAAGAGCATTTGTGTAAACACAGCTGATATAGCAAGCAAGCAAACTGTCTCTACCAAAAATCTGCAGACATTCATCTAGAGGGAAGGGGGGACTAGAAAAACCAAATGGAGCTTCACTACTGTAAAACCTAGTATGGTCATGCAGCAATTGCCGTTCGTAGAGTTTCTGATGCTCCGCTTACCACAGCGACCATGACGTTATTACCTACAGTCGATCCCAGATATATCAAACTCAGATATATCTAATTATTAGCTATATAGAACAGTTAATAAAACCTCTTGAATTTCCCATGCAAATGGATGGGTCCAGTGCACTCTTATATATATAACTCCCGCACAGCGGGTCATCTGCTATATCAAACGCTGAGCTGCGCCCAAGCCCAGAAAATACATGTTTCCTAGCAAATACTGATCAATTTTTGGCTGCGTTTTAACAATTTCTGATGCCTTTTTGTGTGCAGGTGACAAAAGACGGTTCCGCGCAGATCCGATTCTTTGCACAGCGCTTGACAGTGCACCGGTATGTTTGATGTGCGATCTGCACGTCTTAACGCGCGGGCGCAGTGTTTTTCAAAAAGACCAATTGCCGAGGAGGCAGAAATGAGAATGCAAAATGACTTGGCGATCTCATTGCAATGATAACATGCCCTTTCTTGTTTGTTAGCACACGATTGCATGTGATGGGCATACAAGCCTGAAAAGCATGGCCTTCAATATGTGCATTCTCATAATGTATATTTAGTGTTTTTGGTTTTAAAACACATGTCTCGGAAGTTACGCTTTTCATAACTTTTCGCATCAATGCAACGGCTACCAGCTACAAAGCCACAAATGACATTGATATCGCCAACATGTCGAAAGTGGAAACTATGCGTTGTCTTTCGCACTTTGTGAACTTCTGTACATCTCGCCTCATTCTGTATAAATCCTCATTCAGGAGTCGAATAGAACATTGACCCACACATGGCGATAAAAATCATGACTGGCACTTGAAGCGGCGTCAGTTAAAGCACCGTCATAAACTTTCCTCGTGGGCCAGGTGACGAGTTCGGGTGCGTCATGACAGCTGACAACGGCGTGCGGTGCCTCAGTGAATTCTGTAACTTATCGGTTCCGGGCACCATCTCAGAGAGCGACTTTATCAGTGCAGATGACGACATAGCTGTTTCTCACTGCATAGATGCTGAGATCACGACTGCCATTGCTGTCACTGCAGAAGCATCCCCTTGGAATTATGAATATGCCAACGCCTTCGCTACTGCCGCTAACCAACCTTTTTGCCGCACTTCAAAACTTGCATCGGTGTTCTGCATCAATAAATGCTGTTCTGGCCAAAGGGGCTGAATTCGCTTGTTTGAAAAGCTTCAATAATATTGAGGATGACTGGAGCTTGAAGAGGCACAAAAAGCAAGGACTATTTTCATGCGAAATAAAGTGCAGTAACTTGCAGTTCACACATTGTTCTTCATTATACTGTGAGCGTATCTGGCCTGAAATGCTTCAATTTAGGCCTTAAAGGCACATACTATATTGTATTTCGAATTATCAATATATCGAACTATTTCCCGATCCCCTTTTTGTTTGATATATCCGGGATTGACTGTATTTGAGGTAAACATGTAGGGTTTCCGTGTAAAGAGTATAATCTTGTTAAAGAGATTTTTCAACTCTGTTTGCAACATGCGCACAGACTTTTGATGCGCTTTATCGATTTCCTGCTTGTGATGGCAGTTGAGCTGCAGTGTCATCTGCAGTATGTTTCATCAGGCTGTTTAGCCTCTCTGATGAAGCGATCAAGGGTCCAAGAAGCAGGGGTGCAAAAGCCGAAATAGAATTTGTAGAAATTTTCAGAGCAGCAAAATGTTACTTTTAGAGCCCTAAAATCCAAATTTTGAGCAATTTACCGAGAAAAAAGATTTTTTTTATCATGAAAGATTAAATTTGGAGCAGTTTGAAAAAGAAAACTTAGATTTTTTTTTTTAATTTATGTACAAGCGATTCAACAATCTCTAAATTATACGAAGTGAATATGAGCCCTGCTATTTCAACAAAAGTAGTATTTTCTTTAATCACCCCCCTCAGCAAACAATTATGAAGTCCACATTGTAATTCACCATGTCTGTCAAATTGTTTGACCGAGTCTGAGGATTCAAATGTGGATCTCACAAGATGATGACCATGAGATTAGTAAAACTGAAAAAAAAAAAACTGGCACACAGTCTTGTTTGATTTTTTATGGCTGCAAAAATGCCATACAGTACTCCAAATCATTTGGCCAGTAACTTTTTTAGACGTCAACGATCATAATACAGTCAAGCCTGACTATACCGAACCCGTTTATATCAAATTATCCCATATATCGAACAATTCCTAACCAAGGTAAACTTACATTGAGAATATGTAGCAAAAGTTACTGTTTTGTCGAACGGAAATAGCAACGACAACTGATATATCGAACTACATGTGCCTCAAAAGTGCCCCAGCAAGTTGGCTTTCCCTCGCGGTGGTGGGGAAAACTGCCGGCGCCACCCTTGAAAAAGTTGATTAGACCAGGTTGTGCACGGGCGAACACACCCCTGCAAGAAATATTATTACCCTAACTCGCTCGCAGCGCTTACAGCCAATCAGAGGCCGTCATGCTTTCTTTGAAGCGCAGAGGCGGTAGAAGTGAGCACGATTTTTTCTTTCTTTATGCTTGAGTGCCTGCAGCTGCCTGTTTTCCTCGAGTCCTCAGCCAATGTGCTCTGTGCTGGTAGTGTTCCCTGTTGCTCTGTGAACTGTGATGGCGCGCTGTCGTCATGGCTTGCGCAAAGAGGCAGAATTTGACGTTCGCCTTCGTGTCGGCAGGCAGCTTAAGATCGACTTGCTCGGAGCTATTTTTATGTTGAGTAGATCGTGGGCAGATATCACGAAGGAGACCATCCAGAACTGCTTTAGGCATGACAGCTTCCACATGCCTGGTGATGGCACCTCGAATTCCGACGACAGCGCTGAAGTCACCGCAGGCGTTTCCGCTGAAGTTTGGAACGAGCTGGAAGAGTTCCCGGGTGCTGTCGACGGATCGACATTCAACGAGTTCGTCAGTGCGGATGACGATGTCGCCATCACGGGTCAGCTGCAAGATGAGGACTACATTGCAGACGTCATGCCGACCACGAGCCAAAGCGACAGCAATAAGGAAATTGCGATGGTCTATTGCCAACATCCTCTGAGGTGATTAGTGCACTTGCATTGGTCCGGCGCTATTGCGTGAATGTGGAAGGTTGCGACCTCAGCTGCTCCAACTCGTTGAACAACGTGGAGGCGTGCGTGCTGTCGCAGGCAGCGAAGTCGTTGACCCAGAAGAAAATCCGGGACTATTTTGTACCACAGCAGGGGTCGCAAGTAAGTCGCCACATTAATAAACTACTTTTCTTATAATTTATTGTGTGCCTTTGTGTGTAATCCTATACCAAGCCTACATCGAATTATACCATATATCGAACTAATAAACGTCTTTTGGTGAGTTCAATATACCCTGGTTCGACTGTACTCACAATTATGCAGCGTGTACACGAAACAGTAATTGAACAAACTGTGCCATGTCTAGAGACTACTGCTATAAGCTCCTTCGAAATGTTAAAATGCTTTTCCGCAGGCCAACCGTATACTGCCGTGAAGGTGGCTAAGCAGTGTTTCAGCACGGATTATAACAAAACCAAGAAACTTCCAAACCAGAATCGTGTGCCTTCGGCTTTCACCGGAAAGGTTGCGTTTAGTTGCTGGGCAGGGACACAAAAATCACTTCACTTGCTGAGCAGGCCCTTTTTGCGAAAGAGCGCGCTTTTCAAACACCAGCAATGTAACAACTAAAACACTCATTAGTTCGCACTCATATCTGTACCTGTGATTACATTTCATGCGTATTTTTTTTTAAACAGCATGTTAAGCGTCTAGCTGTAAACGTTGTTAGTTAGCTCTCGTCTTGTGCGTGTTGTTTTCATGCGTCATTTGTGTGAGAGCAGTGCGCTGCACGTTTCAATCTGATAGCCGTTCTCCATTCCAAAATGTTGCAATCGCATTCATTGCTTCACCCTTGCAACGAATCTGTGACTTTTTCATGAAGGGGTTAGGTTTAGGGCACAAGTTCTCGGCTCCCTTGCAAGGTGCATTTGACCAGGTAAAGTAACAACGACACACGCCCGTTGGCCTGGCGACTGCATCAGATATCTATTGCATGTGGCGTTGCTATGGCAACTAACCTAGTCATGGCATAGACTAAAGCTGTAAATGTACAAACTCGATCAACTTCGAGTTTGTATACTTCTAGCTTTAGTTCTTAATGGTTCCTAACATGCCAAGGCCGCGTTTGCTGGTTAGGAAATTAAGATTTCCCATGAAGTGTTGCTGGCTACGACAACACATTTTTGTATTGAAGCTGTGTCGTCCCGCCGGTAGATATCTGCTGCGGTCCCCGAACTCACGGGTGCGCGGCATTACTTCGTCTGGTTGATCGCGCTTCGCGAGTTCCTTGAACTAATGAGCAACTATCTTACACCGCGGTTTACTGTTAGGGTCTGCACACTTTGATTGATTGATGTCACAAACTACTGGTGACCAAAGTGGCTTCTATTTCTCACTCAAATTAGGACAACTGAAAAAAATGTTGAGGCTGATCGGGCATTTTGGTACAGTGTGGCACAATTTCGGCAAACTTCATGGTTTTGGCACAGCTCGGCGCACAAATGAGGAATTGTATCAAATTGGCGCAATAGGTGCCACTGTTGCACGCATAGAGTTAATATACTGGCTCTAGAAGAAAAGCTGGGCCGGAAAAGCTATAACCACCAAAACGCTGACATTTCGAAATGTTGTCACTGTTGCCATCACAAAACTTTACAGAAGCGCTAAATTTAGACGTTTAAAACACGCAAGTTTTTGCAGTACAAATCATAAACCAGCGTGTTCACGTATTATAAATAAAGAAAAATTGTATAAAATTGTATAACAACTACATTTAGGAAAGGTACAATGGCCATTTATACAAATTACAGAGTGCGGAAAGAAGCAATTGCAGGTTGTTACAGTAGATGACGCCACAGTCTTTGGAACGTTGAGAGCATGGCTGTAAAGCATGGAACGTTGAGAGCAAGTGGTAGGTGTTCTGTGGCATGGTCGAGAGCGTTGCGGTGCACCGTGCGGACGATTGCGCCGACTTGCTTGCACACTGGGTGAGTCGCATACAGTGCCTCAGTGTCTGTGTTTTTTGTTGCCATGAGCCAAAAACTCAACTTCATATGACAGTCTCTTACTGCGATATAACAAAGATCCACAAAACAGAAAAAATTCCAGGTGTTATTCTTGCAGCATGCAATGGTGACTGAGTGAACGTCACACGAAAGCTGAGTGTCGGTCCATCACGGCGGCATCTGAATGGTTATAGGTTTTAATGCATGGGCCCTATGGGCAGCTTTTCCTCTAGAGTCTGTATATTAACTCTATGATTGCACGCCTAGAGAAGTGCACGTGGGAGGAGCTATAATGCTTTTGGTGATGCAGCAGCGCCATCTCTTACACAGCACAGGAGTCAAGTGGATGTTTTTGCAGCGTTTTTAAATATTCAAAATTATTATTGCAATTGCTTCTTCGTTATTTCTGTTATATATATTATTTTGGACTTTGTTCACTCATTCTCACCCAGTTTTGAGCATTGCTACCCTTGTTATGACCTGTTGAGCGCTTCACTGAGAGCATGATCACGCCACGTGAGAGCACGACCTCCTCTATATACTTATGACCTGCTCACCGGCGCCACCCCTACGGAGGCGTATGAACCTGAAAATTGGCGCATAGGCACCAGAGATGCCGCCACGACTTACCCCTATAGCAGACGATGCACGAACCTCGTGGTGCACTTGTGCGTGCATGTTCATTTCATTGTTTATCCAGTTTCTAACGCGGGAATCTAGCAATTCACAGACTAAACGTCTCGAATCAACTTTCCAGCTCAATCTCTGCGCAAGCGCTTTAACAGGCAAACGCCAACCTTCAGGCGCTAAGCTTAAAATAAATCAATAAAATTGAGCGAACGCGTGCACGCACCTGCGGAAAAGCGGTTTGACGGCTGCAGCGATGGGGGTAAGTGGCGGCGCAATGCCGTGCTAAATAGAAACGTGCTGTGGCACTTTAGAGAACTAAAAAAATAAACAAGCAAAAGCAAATATGGCGACACGGGAAGCGATGGCACGAGCAGGTCTTAAGTCTATAGAGGAGGTCGTGCATGAGATGCATGGATGGATAAGCCAGGCCCCTAAAGTGCTCTACACTTATGATAGAGGGAGGGAGATTTATTATTGTAAAAAAGGTGAGAGATGGCCTGAACTGATGTTCTTGCCTACAACTCAGCCTTATGTAAGGGGTGGGAAAGAGGAACACTGAAAAAAAAGAAAGGGTGTTGATTATGAAGATCCAAGTAACAAATAGAAGCTTTCATACCGAACCACCCTTCACGGTGTCTTGTCTAGTTAACTCCTGTGCAAAAAAATTCGAAAATTTGTTGAAAACTGAGAATATCCAGCTGATGACAAAAGTCAGAAAGGTAGTATAGCAGTGTAAATAACCTGACTTTAATAATAATCAAACTTTCTTGCATGAGCATGACATCAAAGTAAAAAATTGAAATCATATTAATCATAAATTTATAATTCCCTTGCTAAGAGGACAGGAAATGTTATCTGACAGGTTGAATATGCATGTATATTGTACTTTAACTTCTTATAATGACCTGTTCAGAGCATCAGGAAGTTTAAAGCCAGAAGTACTAATAAATATAAAAAATCATTAGCAAAAATAGTAAATTTAACATGGCTACCAGCAATGCCTCTATTTTTCACAGCTCCAATGCTGCCCCCATATGGACAGTCATGGGCAGCAGCCACATACCTTTCTGCTGCATACATATGCATTCTGAGACGTCCTGTGCAGCCTTTTTAAAATGCTTGGAGTCACTGCATGTGTTTCTGTGCACATCATGGGACACATAGAGAATTCGCTTTAGTCAAAAGCCCCAGGAATTGAGAAGGGCACAGCTTCTCACTCATTTCAGGTGCACCATATGCACTATAGTGTTATAAAAACACTCCATGACAAGGATCGGAGACAGGTCTGGTTATTTACAGCAATATTTCATAGCTTACTACAATGACACCAAGATTTCCCACTAAGCACTCACCATCGTATAAAAAGCCAGTATTGTCCTTGATGACGTAAACTGCAGGCGTTGCTGGAGAAGTCATGTTTTCCCCCAGCTGACTGATACAAGAAGATGGTACTGTGAAAAAGTAATTGACTGGCTGGAACTCTTCTGCCATTTTTATAAAGTTTTCCTGAAACGCAATGAAGAAACACATTTAGGGTTGAAACGCATTTCAACTATACAAGCAACACAAAATATTTATGCATCAAGCATGTACACCCCAGGATGCTAGCTACAATATTCTCAACATAAAAGATGCCCAACTCCACAGTGTCGAAACATGAAGAGTACAAGATGTCACAGATCCTTGCCTCCCTCATTCATGCCGTAGCATTCTGGTGCACTATCTTATAGTAATGTATTAATTTAAAATTTAGCTAGGTGGATGCTGTAATAAGCAAAGGCGACCACGGTATCTCCGCGTTCTCTGAAAGAATATTTGAAAATCAAACAACATTCAGGGTATCTCCGGAACACTTGGATGCCAAAATCTCGCAAATGTGAAACATCACAGGGTGCAGGAATAACACGTCCAAATTCACCGATCACATGCATGGAAATGGAAGAGTTCACTCAGTCAATATTCAAGTTACGAACACGCATTGAATGCTATTCGAATAGTTTTCAAATATTAAGGCAGCACTTTTCAATGTAGCTTTAGAATGGTAAAATGACAATTTTCTAAATTGCCCGAAAATTCCACATTTTATTTGAAGCAAATATTCACCAGCTTTAGCAAAAACCGTTATGATTACTTTTAGCCAAAAAATATTTATAATATCTATAAAACTGAGCAGCGAGTAGAGTCTCCAAAATATTTTGTAATTGCAGACAGAATTATTGTTGTGGCTAACGCATCTACCGTTGTACTTCATTAAAAGATTTTAAATGAAAATATGCCAATTTTAAGCAATTTTCATAGGTTAACATCATGAATGTCCTGCTGAATATGTATATTGTTGATTGCAAACTCTATTGCTACAGCTACCAAGGAATTTTTAAAAGCAAAACATCTTCATCCTGTGATCAATATGGCGTCGAAAGTGCTGTGGATACACAGGCTGCAAGCATCTGGATAATTTGATAATGAAAAAAAGTTACTATTCACTGGTCACAAGTCTAGTTCCTTTGAGCATTTTTTGTCATTGATTAGTCAGAAACTATTAGAAAAATATTTCGTATTTTAAGTATGCATATTTTATTTGAGTACCAAATAACATACAACTCTATTCAATTTACTATTCAAAATTTTTTAATATTCGCACACTCTTAAAGCTCACACATTTCTTGTATGCCTAACAGATCATACATACAGAGGTGGAAGTGGACTTCATTGTTTTGCAGCAGCTCAGGGAGCAGCAATAATTCTTTTTTGGAGTAGCCTTGGCGCAGTAAAAAAGGAGTTTTGGAGTAGGTTCAAGGCAGCAAAATGTGCGTTTTGGAGCGACTTAGTTTTGGAGCAGCTTTCTAGAGAAACATCATTGTCAATCAAAATTATTTCTGGTAAAAAAAATTCCAATGGTTTTCACTAAACATTCAGTACCAATGAGCTTACCAGACTTACCGCCTACAAATGTGTGCATGCGTGCTTGCACACGTGCGTGTTTGTGTGATACAAAGCATGCCCGTTTCACACTCGGCCTGAAACAAAAAGAAACATTTATTCTGGGTTTACCACCCAGAATATGAACTTTTTTTTATGCGAACGTATTTGCTGCAAGGAGCCTCGCTAGCCTCTGCAGTGTTGCACCTGATGTGTGAAACAGAGTATAGATAATCGCGGCGCACTTCGCTTGGGGGAAGTTTGTTATCCCCTCGCTAATCAATCACACTACTCTGCTCATCTGTGCTCGGTCTGGGGCGAAGTAAGGACGATCAATTCACACAGCCAACCTGCGCGTATGGTACATCAAGCTGCCCGGCAGTGACAGCGTTGGCAGTACAGGCACCACGGTGCACGCAACTAACCAGGAGATGATCTGAGTCCACGCGACCACTCCGTGTTTTCAATGAAACTGTCAGTTGTTGCTTAGCACCAGATCACGGAAGAGAAGCGCACATATGTATCACAGAAAACTGATAGTGTCTGTTCTGTCACTATTTCACTCGCTGCGTATCTAGGACCCTGAATAGTTTCGAAATGTTCCTTGACGTGTGGGGGTGCCGACACCCTCTGTAAAGTTGTTTGCACTGTGTAGTGCACGTGTCTCGCGCAAAAGCCCTATTTCAGAGTCACAACTATTGAGTAATAGGTGGCATTGTGTTTGCGAGCGTTCATCACCACTATCATTATCATGGTTAGATCTGTAGCACTGGCAGTGACCCCTGGCGGCAAGCTTTGGTGGCGGCACGAGGGAATTGGGCGAGTCTTTTTTGCGCGTGGCGTTTGGAGCGAATGGTTGTCTGTTGCGTGGATCCCCGGTGTACGGCACCGTGGGCCATCTGCCGGGGGCTCTCGTGGTAAGTCGAGCGTTGGCGATGCCACTTTGGGTGTGTCATTGCGTTGGTTATGTTGTTGCATGTTGTGTAATATTGTGCAAGGTTGTTTAGCGCTGGGAAGACCTATCGATGGGAGGACCTATCATAGGTCCTTGTATCGAAACAGGTCCTCTTATCTAAACATCAGCCAGCCAGTCTGAGGCACTTCCACTGTTCACCCTGATTATCCCGCTATGTTGTTTCCATCTGTAAGCTCCCATCTAGACTTAAAATAATCAACAGTTACTCATGTTGGTGCCACTACTTTTTGGGGGAAACCATGGTGATAAGAGCGATGAGACGAGCTCTAGTCAGCCGCCTATAAATGCACCGAATTACAACATGATCAATCTTGAATCCATATAGATGCTGCCGCGTCCTTGGTGGCCAATGCTCAGTGTTGCTCGTCCTACAATAATAATCGGCTAGATTTGGTGGTTTACACTTCCAATCAACAATTATCGCGGAAATTCCAGTTGATGCAGAGCCTGGCAGCGCAGGTCAGATTGGCACAGAGTGCAACAATTGGCGCAGCACTTCCACCCCTGTACATAGGGCCACAAAGCTGGTAAATAAATCACGACTGATGTATACATTAAAAATGAATAAGTGGAACACCTGAAGTACAAATCAGCCTTGCTCCAGACCTGCAGCGCATACATCCACATTCCTCACATAAAGCTATCTAAAGTAGAAAATTATTCAACATAATGGCCATCAAGTTGGCAAAACGAGACTTCCAGAATATATGACGTAAAAATCCTCAAATCACAAGAATATATACCGTGATGAAAAACAAAATGCAGAAACAAATCATTCTGATTCTTGCTTTTGATGTTGTGATGCACAATTTACATTGTAATGAACGTTAAAAAAAATGATTGATATGTGGGGTTTAACGTCCCAAAACCACTATATGATTATGAGAGACGCCGTAGTGGAGGGCTCCGGAAATTTAGACCACCTGGGGTTCTTTAGCGTGCACCCAAATCTGAGCACACGGGCCTACAACATTTCCGCCCCCTTCGAAAATGCAGCCGCCGCAGCCGGGATTCGAACCCGCGCCCTGCGGGTCAGCAGCCGAGTACCTTAGCCACTAGACCACCGCGGCGGGGCTGAACGTTAAAAAAAAAAAAAGCAATTAAATTATTTAAATATCTTACATAACAAACACTGACAGGTTTGATGGTAAGTAGTAAAACAACAAGGGGTTGTTTATTGCGCATGTAAATTTTTGTACACATGCATTGCATCTTAGCATTATACCTCTGCTTAAATACTATAGCAAGGGTCCTGGTTAGGTTAACCTCCCTGCCTTCTTTCTTACTGTTCTTGTCCTTCCGCTACAGCAAGGGTATCACTGCTGAAAATAAAACACAACTTCTTCCGCATTAGAGGATTTCTTATCCACTATGGCATCTGGAGATCTCTAATTTTGAAGATGAAAATTACATGAAAGATGAGAAATATTAAAAACATCATAAGTGATGCCAAGATTTAATTAACGGGAAGAAGGGGAAAATTGAGGGGTAGAACTTTTGTTTTTTACAGCAATTTGAAGATTATAAACCTACAGATAATGAAATAAAGGAAAGCATAGAGATATTACTTGTCAATTTTAATCAAAATAACAACTGCTAAAATGAAGAAAGAAACTTGCCCCTAGTGGGATCGTTACTGTTTCACACCAATTTTAAGTTCCAAAAGAACAACCGCAACATGGCTCTCAGTGCTGTAGAAAGAAGGTCTTAAGGTTAATACAGTCAAACCTTGTTATAACGAAGTTGAAGGGGGAGTCATAATTACTTGATTATAACCACTAGTTCATTATAGCCAATATACATTTCTTCCAACAATTAGCCAGCAAGAGAGAATCTACTCACCAATGAATATCACAGCTTCTCTTCGCACAGATTAAAATGGCCGTCGAAAAGCAAAACACTAGCAAAATAATAAAGAACAATGCACTTTATTTCCGCTGAATTTAGCACACTAGCTGACAGATCACTTCGAAAAAAATAGTACTCAATAGACTTTTGCCGACTCTTCTTCACGCGAATGACTGCTTTTTAAACGCCCACCCGATTTCCACGACAAAAAAAAAAAAAAATTACGGCATATTCATGGGGTGAATGATGATGAATGGGCGAAGCTCCGGAGGGATTCATCGGTAAACTGTGAATCTTCCGTGTAATTCGCCCAGTCGATCATCATGTAAAGACGTGAGAAACGCTGTGTGTGTATATACACAAATCAACTTTTATTTGTTCTTAGACGATGGATGGCTTGCGATGTCCCTTGCCTCGCGCGCTCGCACATCGGGATTCTGTCTGCGAGCGCGCGCTGCTGCCGCCTTGCGCTCTCTCCGCTGTGCAGCCTTATCCATCCGGCGACTCCGAGCGCGCGCCAACAGCGAACGGATTTTATTACAACGCTCCCCCTAGCGTACGTCGCCGCACTAAATCGAACGATTGCCTTCAACCAATGACACGCGCCATATGTGACATCATTCCTATTTTATAAGATCTCGCGTCTTTCATCAACTACAAGTACCGCTTTCTAGTTTATAACATCTTGCATCTTTTTATCATCAGCTACAAGTACCACCGTCTAGTAAACACTACAAGAACTAAACGAGAGGTGGCTACATAC